CCTGCAGCGGGCGGTGCGCTTCTGGCGGAGCCGCTACGAGAAGTTGGTAGAGTCGCTGGGGGGCCCCGGCACGGCGGAGCGCCTGGCGGTGGTGGCGGTGCACCTAAAGGACATGGTGCACGGCAAGGACATCGAGTCGCCCGTCGACACGCTGCGGAGGAACGTGGCGCTCCACGCGGCGTTGGCGCCCTGGCATCTGGGGACGGCGACGGCGTGCTCGCTGCGCCGAGCCCAGAAAGGGGCCCAGGCTTGTGGCGCGCCCCGCGCTGTCGGCGGCTGGCCTCGCCGCGGGCGGGGTGAACATCCCTGGCTCGGGCAAGCTTGCTGAGGGCGGCGCCCCGCCCGCGCGGAAATTGGCCGAGTCCCCGCCCGACTCGGCCATCCCGCGCGGGCGCGGGCGTCGCTGCCGCGGAAGCTGCCAAGGCCGCCGGGGCCGACGCGGTGCACGACGGCGAGATCGGGACGGAGCTGGACGGCCACGACCCCCTGCTAGCGGTGCCACCTTTTCCCTTGCACGTTGAGGAGCTCAACGATCATGGCACGATCGCGACGCACGAGCTCCGGGTTAAGCAGGGCGTGGCTGGCATGCAGTGGCCGTTGCGAGAAGGAGCTGGCGGTGAAGCGGAGCCCACACGTGATCAGCTACAGCTCGGAAATCAGCGGGGCACCAGCATGGCGATGTGGAACGCCCGTGCTGAGATCGCCACGGAGTGGCTGGCGGGCGGCCCCCATAGCAGGCGGCCCGGAGGAGGCGCTCCTTGGCACGCTCGAGCACGAGGAGGAGCACGGCGTGGAGACGATGCTCAAGGGGGAGCTCATGGCAGCGGCGGCGGCGGCGGAGGCGGACGACGACTCCGCCACGCCACCTCCTCTACCAATTTGCGTGGTGGACTTCTGGGAGCGCCTGGAGGAAGCCGCGAAGGGCATCGAGACCACCATGAAATGGGCTCGGTACCCGCGCGGCCAAGCGCGGCATGATCATGTTCACAACTGGAGGCCATCTACGGGGAGGCCCAGCGGGTGTTGGACGGCTCCGACGACGGGGACGACGCTGAGGCCGAGCTGGAGCGCATCGAGGCTCAAAAAGCGCTCGAGTCTGCTTGGCTGCACAACGACACGCTGGAGAGCGAGGGGCCTGTCTAGGCCGCCGTGGGGCTAGCGCCTCGCTGCCATTTCATATTGCAGTTTGGGGTGTGTCTGCATGAACACCCTGGGGAGGGGGCCCCAGGACCCCTGGTAGTGGTGCTCAGTTGAGCTTATGATGGCTCCGTCCTCGCCTGTGCAGCGGGCGCGCGCGCGCCCATGGGAGGGGCCAGCCCTAGGTGCAGGGAGGCGCACGGTGCCATCTGCAAGAGCGGAGGGCGAGCGCGCCCCTCCTTGGGAGAGCGCGATAATCATTCCCAGAGTCATCAACATAATCATCAGCAGTATAAGAATCATCATCAGCAGCAGCATCATCATAATCAGGATCAGCATCAGCAGCAACATCACCATCGTCATCATCACCACCACCAACATCTTCCCCACACCCATCGCCATCACCGTCACCATTACCACCATCGCCACCACCACCACCATCATCGTCATCATCCGCATCTCCATCTTCATCACCATCAACACTATCAGCATCCTCATCGTCATCATAATCATCATGATCATCATTGCCAGCATCAACATCGTCATCAACATCATGATCAACCACGCTCCTCTTACCACCTCCACCACCAACAATCCGCAACCTCGGCATCATCATCACAATCGTCGTCACCATCCATATCCTCATTTTCCGCTTCCTCTACCCTCTCACCATGATGTTGAACCAAATTTCCCTCCTCCTCATCCTCATCATCATCACCACCATCATCATTTAACTCGGTGCCTTGCTTCCTTCCTCCTCCACCTCCTCATCCGTATCCTCTCCCCTCCTCCTTCCCCGCCCCTTCTCCCGTCTCCTCCCTGCTCTCTCTGGTCTCGCCTCCTCCCCTCGTCCCCCCACCCTTGGTGCATTCAGGATCGGCGATCTCCACGCATCTGGGGAACATGGGGGGTCGCCAGTAAGGTGTGTAAACGCATACATCTCGACCAAGGCATGGTCTGTCTTCCCTGCCCTGGGGTCCTGGGGGCCTTGGGCCGGCAGCCGTCGGAACAGTGCCCCCAGATCCGCATCGTCTGGCAGCAGTGCGAGAAGCGCCTGGTCGCCGACCACTGCGGTCATCGAACCAGGTGCCCGTGCACTTACGCTGACGAGCGCCCCCGGCGTTACCCATGGCCGCAAGGGACTCGTGCACCAGACACGCTTGCGCGACAGAGCGGCACATCCTGCGCACGGGCCATGCTGCACAGAACCACCAGAACTACGTCAGCGCGTCCAGAAAGAAAACCCAGCCCAGGTGTGCGAGCACCGCGCCGTCAGTGCAGCGAATACATGGTCCAGCCCAGACCTGTCTACATACATGTGAACCGTCTGGGGGCACATTCTTGTTTAACACCAGCATGCGTATCCTCACGCGTACTCGCCAAGTGCAGGTACTGCGAAGAGGGCGGAAAGAAGCATGCGGACGGACTCTAAGAGACGGGTGCCGATGAGGTTCTGATTGAACATGATGGCCACCATCGTGAGAGTCTTGCACATGAAAAAGCCCTTCCCTGCCACATCCGCATTATCCCGCTTCCTAATCCACACATTACAATAGATATGTCTCCGCTTGAACGAGAGCACGTGACTCCCACGACTCCCAGCCGAATGGCTCACACGCCGACCGCGTTCGATCGTGATCTTCCTGCATCTGACCGCCCCGATGTTTCTGCTACATTCTGATTCGGCTCGTTCAGATCGTCTCCCTTGCCCAGGGATGGAGACAAGCGACCCCGAGCGGAGCCTTTCTTGACATGAACGCAGAGAACGTGTAATCGAAGAGCTTGGCACGAACAAAGACTTGCACCATCACCAAGATGAACTATAGCGCAAGCACACAAGGGATACCAGGAGGAGGAGGAGGAGAAGGAGAAGGAGGTGGAGCCCCGAACGCACACAGGGGATACCACGAGGAGTTAACTTCCCACGCGAGTTCAGACGTGGCGCTGGACTTGCGCAGGTAGTGAATCGTTCCAGGTATTGGTCCCGATCCCCTGCACTGTGTATCCCTCATCCTTTTATTGTCCTCGCCCTCACCGACCTCATTAGCATCATCATCATCAGCATCATCATCATCAACATCAGCAGCATCATCATAATAGTGAGCATGATAATGATCATGGTCATGATCATCATCATCATAATCAGCCGCATCATCATCAGCATAACCATCCTCATCATCACCATCATGATCATCATCAGCATCATCATCTTAAGTGTCATCATCAGCCTCATCATCATCATGCTCAGCATCATCACCAGCATCAACACCACCACCATCATCAGCAGCAGCATCAGCATCATCAGCAACAGCATCGCCCATCTCCTCCTCAGCATCACCACCAGCATCAGCAGCAGCATCAGCATCAGCACCAGCATCATCATCATCATCATCGTCATCAGCATCATCAGCACCATCATTAGAACGGCAGCAGCATCATCATCAGCATCAGCATCATCATCACAATCAGCATCATCAGCATCATCGCAGCATCATCAGCATCATCATGACAATCAGCATCATCAACCTCATCATCATCATCATCAGCAGCAACATCATCACCAGTATGATCAGCATCATCATCATCATCAGCAGCATCATCAGCATCATCAGCAACGCCATCCCCATTAGCGGCAGCAGCGGGTACAGAACCATCGTCATCGTTGGCATCAGCTCAGCTCCATCAACGTCATCCTTACCATCATCATCAGCAGCATCGCCAACAACATCATAAACAGCCGCATCATGCTCACGGTCATCATCTGCATCGTCATCATCATCAGTATCGTAATCATCATCATTAGCATCATGATCATCAGCTGCAAAAAAACAGCAGCATCCTCCTCATCATCATCTGCACCATCAACATCATGGTCATCAGCATCAGCATCGCATCAGCCGCATCATCATGATCATCATCAGTTGCAGCAGCAACAGCAGCAACGTCATCATCATCATCATCAGCAGCATCTGCATCGTCACCATCCCTATCAGGAATCACCATCAGCATCGTCATCATCATCAGTATCAGCATCATCGTCATCAGCATCAGCATCATGATCATCATCGATATCACCATCGACCTCGTCATCATAAGCGTTATCAGCATCATCAGCAGCAGAAGTATCATCAGCATCATATTCTTAATCACCATCATCAGCATCATCATCAAGAGAATCAGCATCAACATCATCATCCTCATTATCATCCGAGTCACTATCAGCAGCATCAGCATCACCAAAACCATCATCATTATCAGCAGCAGCAGCAGCAGTCGCAGCATCATCATTATCGCAATCGCCATCATAGGAAAAAACACATGGAGATGTGTGTATCATAGTTGTGAGCGTCGTTCTCGGATGAGCCCTCTATGGAGCCACGACGCGTGTGACGAGTGTGCCAAAATTGGGTGCGGGTACTCCGTGCGGGCGCCGCCAGTGGGGCCGCCGGTTGTGCTCCCGATTTGGCCACGAAACGTGCACCCCTGTCAAAAATAATGCAAAGTCCACTTTGGGGCAAAGTCTTCAGTCATGTTCGTGAGACCCGCGAGCACAGCGTATTGCTTCTGACAGGGACGGCGGGAGTGTCAGCATATTCCCTGCTGCGCGCAGGAATACCATCCCTGACCAAAAAAACCATACAACATGCACCTCGCGGCTGAATTCGGGTCATGCGCGGCCATCCCGCCATCACTGTCCAGTGGCTTTTGACAAAGACGGCGGGGGTGGTGGCACGTGGTAGACATCGTTTCTGGATGGGCTGGTGGGCTCACGCGAAGCGTCTAGAATGTCTACATCGCTTACATTCCTATTGAAATCCATACACCTAGATTTTATGTGTAATCCATACAAAGATTTCAATGCGCAGGTTGCTCAAGAAATAATCCAATTACACAGGAAAATGTGTAAATCACTGAAGACAAAACGCAACAGCTGAAATAATATGGAGAATCGCTGAAACAAGTATACTATGATTTGCTGGGGGGCGCGCAAGACAAAACAAACACAACTGGAAATATGGTGTTAAACATATGCATATGTTTTTTTCGGATGTCGGACACTTTTTGCGGCAAGGGCCGAAAGAGGCCTTCTCCTTGTTCTCCTCCTCCTCGTCCATGTCCTCTTCCTCTTCATCCTCTGCTTCCGCCTCCGTACCGCTCAAACGAGGGCGGGGTCGAATTCACGACGCGTCCCACTTCAGACAACTCGTCTGAAGTGCGGCATTCCTACACTCAGCCTCCTCCCTGCTGGGCTGTTGCACACGCGCGGTGGCGGGGTTTGCCGTAGGCAGCTGGATAAGCATCATCATCGTCATCATCATCATCAACATCATCATCAGCATCAGCATCACCATCAGCGTCATCCATCAGAACATGGTCAACATCACCATCAGCATCAACATCGACAACAACAGTAACGCCAGCGCAGTCATCGTAATAAGCATGACCGTCCTCATGAACAGCAGCAACCATATCGGCATCATAATTGTCATCAGCATCATAATCAGGATCAGCCGAATCATCATCAGCATCGCCCTGAGCAACAGCATCCTCATCACCACCACCATCACCATCACCATCACCATCTTCAAAATCACCGGCAGCATCATCATAATCACCATCACCAGCATACACATCATCATCCGCATCACCATGGCCGTCATAATCGGCAACATCAGCACAAGCATGAGCAGCATCATCACCATAATCATCCACATCATCGACGTGTTCATCCGCATCCCCATCATTACCAACATCGTCCAACTCATCCGTAATACCACCACCAGCATCGCCATCACAATCAGCACCATCATCATTCATGGTCACCACCCATTGTATTTGCACCATCATAATCGACATCGCCATCGTCACCGATGTCGCCATCTTTCAAGGGCACCATCATCAGCATTATCATCATAAGCGGCATCGTCATCGCCATCACCACCACTACCAGCATCATCATCAGTGTCATCACCATCATATTCAACAGCATCATCATGATCCGCGTCGTCATCATGATTATGATCAGGACACTGCTAATCACCATCATCATCATGCTATGCACTTTGTTTCGGCGGAAAACTGCATTCTGGAAACGATTGCTCGCTGCGATCAGCGGGCTGCTCCTCCCCAGCCGAGGAACGAGAGGAACGGCCTCCTCCCGAGAACAAGCACAGACAAACAAAGTCGAACTGGTCTCGACCCGAGACTCCCAAACCCCGTACACAGGGCTGACATTATAGATAAAGGCTCTCGCAAGGGACACTAGAGACCTAGCGACCGCGTGGTTTAAATCGCCGGGCCTCTTGGTGGCTAAGATTGCGCGGCGAATGCCGTCACTGCTCCCACCTCTCAACTGCACGTGTGGGAACCCTGTGCTATCGCAGATTCCTGTGCGATTGCGGCACACGCGATGGAGTCCCTCCAGGTCGTCGGGCTCGAGCCCAAAATAAATGAAAGTGCAGCGGTGCCTCTAAGACGCCCCGATCATGCATCTATCACTAGTGAATTTCCTCACGCAGGCGGCAGGCAAGTCCTCAGTAGCAGGCGCGACAGGTGACCGCACCCGACTCCCCCCGGGCATCTCGAAGACAAACGGAACGCGAGCCCTCCAACACATTCTAGCAAGGCGACTCAGTCTTTCGGCAAACCGTTTCACCCTGTAGCGGTTACATCCGTTGTCGCTTGCCCTGCTAGCACCTGGCAGCACGGGCGAGACAAACAGGAGCAACGCCTCTTTCCGCTTCAGATGGCCCAACACTCGCTGCTCCAACGGAGCGCCCAAATTCTGGTCGCCGAGCGCGTCTGCGCGCCACGTCCAAGTGGGCGTACCATGGGAGGCCAGCTCTGATCCGACTGCGCTCACCTGGTCTCCTATCACCAGCGCTTTGCCCCGCATGGCGAGGGCTGAGCGCCGCCTGGCAGCGGCGCCGCGCAGCCCTACAGCAAGGCGGGCCCCCGCTGGCGCAGGCGCTGCTCGCCGCAGGCCAGAAGCGTCAGGCCGTGGATCTGCGTCTGCTGCCCCAGCCGAGCGCTCATCTTGTACCTGGCCATGTTTTTCCACTGCAGCCAGCCTCCGCGGCGCTGCACTTCCGCCTGGCTGCGCTCGCCTCTGGCGCGGTAGACGCTCGCTCCCGAGTGCCGCGCCTGGCGCGACGTTGTCCGCCGCAGCTGAGGCGCGCGGCAGCTCTCCATCATTTGGCGCAGGAAATTGGGTCGTCGAGCTGCCGCGCTGCCAGCTGGGGGCTCATCATCTGCAGCACTGCCAGAACAGGCCCGAGCCGCAGTGGCCACGCCGAGTCCAACTCCAAGCTCAGGCCGGACTCCCCAACCTGGTCCGGCGTTGCCCACTCCTGCGGGCGCATGAGCAGCCCCCAGCAACGGCCCCCACCACGCGGCTTCACTATGTCCCCAGGGCGCAACCTGGAGAGGAAGGACGGCCTCGGGCACGTCGAGACCGACAGCGTTAGAAAGACTGCCATCATGCGGTGGCCTCTCAGTACCAGGCCAAGCATGAAGGCGCCCCAGGTTATCGGCGGCTCTGACATCCTGGCTCTGCCACGAAGGTGGAGCGAGGCGAGGCGATGAACCGGGCGCGCGCCCGTCGTCTCCAAGGGCAGCTCGAAGAACTCCTGCTCTCTCCTTCGCCAGCGCGAGCACCCGATAGCACTGGGCTCGCACGCGCGCCGTCGCAGCGCTCGACTCCGGGCAGCGGTCGATAATCACGTAGACCCCGATCGTTCGGACGTCCGCCTGGTGCCTTCGCCTCGCCCGTCTCGACAGCATCCGCTGGCGCTTGGCAGCGCTGGCAGCCTCTGACTCGCTGGTAATGCCGCTCGAGCTTGCTTCGGCTGATCGAGCCTGCCATCCAGCGACGCGCCTTCGGGCATCGGCAGCCTTGGGCCCCGATGCCGCCTCCAGGCCCACTGGTAGGGCAACGGCCGTCTCGCTGGCTGTCGGTCTCGGCGACGACTGTGCCTGCCTGTTCTCCACGGCCCCCGAGGCCTCGGCCCGCGCCCGCACTCTCGGTCAAGGCCTTCACGCGGGCGCCACGCTGCAGCGAGCTCTCACCGCGCCTGCGGCATGCGACTGCAGCCGCTGGTTCGCAAAAAAAGGCGCCGAGCCAAAATACCGACGGATGACGCCGAATAATCAGTCGCGAGTGCTCACGTCTTCCAAATAATTTCTGTCATTCGCATAAACCTCATCCGACTTGACATCTGACCCGAGCTCCTCTCGCCGACAGCACGGGGGGGTCCTATAGCGTGCGCAGATCACGGGGGGTTCTAAAACATTGTCACGCTCACCCTCACCCCCAGGGCTGGGCACAGGAGGAAGAGAAGAGGCAGGCAGGGAAACAGGGAAAAGACGCGTGCGAATCTTCGAAGGCACTCTACCCTCGGCACGCGATCACTCGTCGCTGTTGTTAATGTCGATCGGGATCCAGCGGGCGATAGCCCTCAAATTCCGACTCAAAAGACAGGCCGTGAATTTACGAATCTGCGTCAAGATCGCAAGGCTTCGACACCTACACCTATCCAAAGTTAAAGCTACTCCGAAACGACTGAGAGCAATGGGTTTTAGCGACATCACGAGCCCTCTAGAGTCTAGCATGCCGATGTGCTCACTATATCACCAGGTCCCCCGCCCTACGCCCCGCCAGAGTTGATGGGATAGGAGCTCACTGGGCACTCTTGGAAAGTGGGGCCCATCTGGTAGTCTCCTTGGGCAGCGTGGATTCCGTCGGGAACTTCTCACCTTCGTCTACGCAGAGCGCCACGTCCCCCCCCCCCCCCCCCCTTTCACCGTCAAGAACTCCCCGAGACCCGCGGCCGTCAGGGCCGAGCAGCGAGCTTCGACTCCCGCTTCCATCTTGAACCGCCTCCTCGCACGACAACGGCCGACGACGCTGAGAGAATCGCGGTCCCAGGAGCCCCCCGCGATGCCATATCTACTTTCGGAGGCGCCCGAACACTGCACCCAGCGATTATAAGGCAACCACCAGTCGGAGACAATCATCGGTAAGAGCCCACGGAACGCAACCAACTCTTCTCGACAATTGGCCCAGAGCGAACCCGACTCCTTCTGCATTTTTGCGTCGACTCTGTAGCACGCGCGAAATGCAAACAGCACGGGCCGTCGCGCGAGCCCCAAGCACGCGCAGCGCCCAAGCAGACCTCGGAGATCGTCGCCCCGCACGGTGCGCAGCTGCAGCGCCCCGCCGACCCCTTGCCGCGCCCTCCAGAGCCGTTCCAGCGCGGGCCGCGCCTGTACTTCTGGCCCCGCAGTACAACCCCCAGCACCTCGACCCTGTCGCTGCGCGCCTCGCGCCCGTGGACCTTCGGCCTCACCGCCTCGAACGCTCTCACCAGCTCGTCCAGGCTGTGACTGATGAGCCCCCCGTTCTGGCCGATCACGCCCACGTTGTCCACGCGCGCAGTGACCCGCCTGTTCTGCCCCGCACGTAAGCCTTAGCACCAACGGCTTGCCCAAAGTCGCTCAGCGGGGCGCCGTCGCGCAACCTCGAGGCGAACTGGCACCTGCGCTCGGTCGCGCTCTGGCACGGGCACGGGCCCAACGTGCAGCCCGCCGGTAGCGCCTCGGGGAACGGGCATACCAGGCCGTCGAACAGCACCTGCTGGCCCTCCAACACGGCACCGCGCAACCCAACGTCGCCCGCCATGGCGGCTGGCAACCCGAAGAGTCGCTTCATCCAAGGAGGCAGCCGCGCGCGGTGGAACGCGCCCCGCACGTCCGCGACACCTATCGAGAGCTCAGCGCCCGCCAGCGCCGCCTGTTGAGCCGCCTCCAGGTGGCCCTTCGCGCCCCCCAGCTCCTCGAAGTCGAAAGCCGACAGACCCTCTGCCGTGAGCAAAAGCACTGACGGCGGGCCAATCAGCCACGCATTGCTCCGCCGACAATCAAGAGTGATACGTGTCTTCTCCCTTCCCTTCTTCCACGCAACGGGGGTACCTACCATCTCCGAGACATGGCGCGCGAACGATACTTGCCCGCGCTTGGCAAGGCCCCTCGCAAAATCACCGCACCTGCGTCGGCTCCGCAACGGCGCAGGCTCGCTGGAGGGGACCCGCGGACAGCGCTCCAGCACCTGGCGAACACTCCCACGGCCCCGCAGCACACGCTCGCCTTGCCCCTCCACGCACCGGCGCGCTCGCCCCTGAAGAGGTTCCCGCACCGCAGGCGCCTCTCGATGCTATCAGGGAGCGACGGAAGCCCAGGTCGGTGAGGGGCGAGCGCATCCTCGGGAGGACCACTCAGGTACGACGACCTCCCACGCATCAACTCTCGCAAGGCTGAATGCGGCCGTTGCATCACCATGCCCAGCATCGGCTGCGCGATGTTGCTCACATGCCCCTCGATACCCCGTAGAAGATGATGTTGCATATCCGGCAACGCCCCTGTAGAAGACCCCACAGAGGCCCCCGCCAGCCAGGTGAGGCTCTGCACCGCCCCGTTAAAAAGTAGATCGCGTAGCCGCCGCCGTCGCGCGCGACTGCCGCTATGGCCCGATGCCTGTCGGGTCGCCCACGTCTCCTTCAGCGGAAAAGCGCAGACATCGCGAGCCCCGTCATTGGGCAAGAGCCCAGGGGGTCCTTCTGATGTGAAGCCGCCGGCAGGACCATGTCCAGCGACCGAGTAGCCCGGCGCCATTTGCCTCCTCCCGACGCGCCCGCGCCGGGAGGATTCTCCAGCCCCTTCTGGTTATTCGGCAGCTTCTCCTCGTCGTCCCCCCCCCGTCGCACATCGGGCCCCTGGTAGCGCCCATCAGGCCTCGAGCCCGCGCCTTCAAAAGCTCGGTGTCCTCCTTGGCCTGCTTCGCACCGAAGCTCCGAAGCTCTGGCACCACCACGTCACCCGTTCCAGTCTCGCTTGAGAGGCAGCGAGCCGTGCGCCAGTTAGCATGCGCACCTGGCCCCGCGCGCGCGTCTGTTACCTGGATCCGTCCCGCAAGCCGCTCCATCGGTCTAGAACCGCCCAGGTTCGACTGATCGTAGCAGCGCGCCAATTGCAGAGTGTAGCAAAGGACTTCCAACTCACGATAGATTCTGTCATGACGCTCCACCCGGCGTGCACCATTCCACTCAGACAGCCACCGAATCGGACCTTCTCCGCTCCTGTACATGACACTGCCGAGGTACACCACTGAGAATGCCCCCATCGATCGGGTCGTCCGAAAACGACCCGGCTGCGACCTCGCTCACCACGCTCCGCCCCTCCTTGCGACGCTCTCCGCGGCCGTCGAAGTCCACCACGAGTGTCCTGATGTCAGCGACGGAGACCGCACCCTAGTCGCAACGCTCCTGGGCGTCCTCAGGCTTCTCCGCCGAACCTAGGCCCAAGCGGTCCCTCACGTGGTCCTCCACGGCGGTGTCACTGCGGGGGGGGGGTAGACGTGCCCAGATTTCGCTGCAGCCATGCTATCTGATCGCTGGCTCCCCGCGGCATGTCTCTCAGCGCGACGCCGACCACCCGACGCACCTCCGAGTCCAACTCGTTCAGCCCGCTCACGCCCTGAATCGGGTCGCTGACCGTCAAGTACACCTCCTCGCCGATAGAGTGTCCGCCCCCTGGCTCCACCAGCACCATGACGGAGTCATCAGGACGCGCCCCTTGAACAGCCACTCCCCCGCCATCGCGGCACTCACGCAGCGCATGCCAAGGTATTCCCGATGGCCCGTCGAGCCCACGATGCGCCTAGGCGAGTCGGCCTCCGCCGCCCCGCCCGCTGTCCCGATGTCGTGGCAGCTCGTTGCCCACGCGACGTTGCGGTTCACGGGCGTTCTCCTTCGGAACCTTCACAGCTGTCGTGATCCCAAGGGCGGGTTTCGATCCACTCAGTCCGCATTCTCGGTCCAGGCCGCCCGCGCGCTTCTTCCAGAAGTCTCCATCAGGCGACAGCACCAACCAGACCGACTCCTCGACGGCAGTCCTGTCACCCGTTGCCCGTCGAGCGGGCCAGATCATCAGTCTCACGTGGTCTACGTTGTCGTCGGAGTAGCTGACTCTCGTGCGCGTCCCAGCGGCCGATCTAGTCCAGTGCCCCCGCTCCTCGGCGCCAAGGCGCAGCGGGGCGAACGCGACCACCATCCTGCGCACCCGCGACGGGCTCGGCGCGGCGCCGCCTGCAACCGACATGGCGCAGCGCTCCGCCAATCAGCTGGCCCAGAACCCACCACCGCGCCCCGATCCCCAGCGGCTGCTCTTCCCGCGGCCTTGGCGACGGGCAGACCTGCGGCGGCACCGCGGGGCAGGTGGGCAGCTCGCCCTCGAAGCCCGCCGCGGGCGAGGGCACAGGCGCGGGGGGCGGCCCGCCCGCCGACCGATTGCGGTCGGCTTCCAGCTGG